TTGTGGTCTTCTCTGGTCTGTCCACAGTTTCTGATATTCAGCAGAAGAGGTTATATCAACAATAAATAAAATAGCAGGGATATATAGTTTGAAGATTATAATCTTTTTAACCTTTGTGATCGCGGCATGGCGCAGGGACAAAAAAAGACGGCGAGTCGGTTGGTGAGTGATATCTGGGACAACACCGTCTCGGAGTGGACTATGTGGATGCGTGGCCTTCACGACGCTGAGTTCAACGTTTCTCTTGCCTTTGCCCTCTTCTGTGTACTTGTGGTGATCATCGGAAATGTCGTTCTTCTCATTGCCATTAACTTCTGGCTATCTATATTCCCGCAGGAGGAGATGGCCACCAACTCCAGTCAGATTGCCGTACAGGTCGTTGTCTGTACGTTCCTCGTTATGTGTTTCTGCCTTGTTGGTGTGGTGTACGTGGTGATCTACGGCGTGCGTCCGTTATTGCGTGCGCTGGTCGCCACCAACCGTGTCCGTGGGCCCCTGTACCGCCTGCTGCTGCTGTTCGCCTCGGGCGCAACGAATGGGCTGACAGGTGTGTTGGCAATCTACTCTATGTCACACACACCAGAGTTCCTGCAGGCGGTGTTGCTCAGCGTTATTCCGTTCTGCGCGCAGCTCTGGACGTTCGCGCTCGTTCCAGAGGAACGCAAGCGTCGCTACGGTTCTCTCACGCTCATCGCCTCGCTCCTGTGTTGTGTGGCGGGTGTGCTACTGTCGTCCATGTCGTCTTTCCTCGACTCCTCAACGGGGCGGGCAGCGCCGTGGAACTGGGCGCTGGTGTACCTTGCCAGTGCTGTCGTGTTCGGGCTCTGGTGCGTTGTGCAGCGCCTCTACCTTGACGCGATTATGCTTCGGCACAGCGCGGCCCCGCCGGCAAGCTCACCGGACATGGCGAGCATAGATCGGGTGATTGCTCCGCCGGGCGAGAGGGAGGTCGAGCCCGTTTTTTCTGGTGCTGCTGCTGATGATGATGATGCTGCACCTGCGAAGGACGATGCGATGGATGACTTGTACCGCGTGGGCACCAGCGACACGGCCGAAGCCTCACTGTCTGATCCCTTGCTACTGGGCCAGCGCAAATGGGGTAAGCAGAACAAGGACGACTTTGCCGCAAANGACACGGCCGAAGCCTCACTGTCTGATCCCTTGCTACTGGGCCAGCGCAAATGGGGTAAGCAGAACAAGGACGACTTTGCCGCAAAGACTGTGCTTCTTCTTGTTGGTGTTCTCTTTCAGACGCTCGTGTCCTTTGCGTTGCTCCCTGTTGACGCTATTCCGTGGTTCGGTACGTCCAGCAACGTCTCAGAGGCCTGGCATGGATTCCGCGATTCATGTGACTTCATCTTTGACTCATGGGAAAATGTGCGGTACGGCATGCTGCACACGCTCGGCTTCTTCATGAGCTTTATTGGCTGTGCGTACCTGAACGAGCGGTCCCCCACACTGGCGTCTGTGGTGCTGCAGATGGCGAGCCCCGTGACGGGCATTGTTCTCATAATTGTGCCGAAGTGGGACGTGTATGGCGCGCACGGCAACGTTGGCCACCAGGTCGGTGGCATTGTCCTGCTGCTGCTCGCGGGTCTTTTCTACCATGTCTGGGACACGGCGTCTCTGCAGGAAATGCTGGAGAGGCAGGAGGTGCAGCAGCAGCAGCAGCAGTACCGCGATGACGTTGGCGCTGGGCCGGAAGTCGGCGAGTCATGCGGCACGGCGATGCAGCCCGGCGCCCCACACGTCAGCGAGAGTTAAGCAAGAGGCTAATGGAGGAACGCGCTGGCGTGGGGGAGGTGTTTGGGGCAGGCAGAGGGCGAAGCTGCAGAAGGACTACGCGTCGGCCTCGGCCCCGCTGATCGCAGCGAGGCATGCGCGGGAGAGGGGTGGTGCCTGGAGTATTAAAAAGCAAACGAAAAAGAATGAAAGAACGAACCAAAGACAAAAAAAAAA